GAGAGAAAGAGAAACATCGATGTGAAAGGGACACAACGAGTGGTCACCACCCACATGACTCAACCAGAGCTGGGGACAAACTGCAACTGAGGTACGCGCCCTTAGTAGGAACCGAACACGGGTCTCTCTAGACCACAGGCTGACGCTCTAACCACTGAGCCAAACCGACCAGGGCCCACATTTTAGGGCCCACATTTTCTTTATACATTCATTGGATGATGGACATTTAGGTTGTTTCCACCTCTTTGCTATTGTGAATAATGTTGCAATGAATGTGGGAGTGCAGATATCTCTTTAAGATCCTGTTTCAACCCTTTTGGATAAGCATCCCAAAGTGGGATTGCTGGATCATATGGCAGTTCTATTTGAAAAATTTTGAGGAACCTTTATTTTGTTTTTCATTTTACATTCCTGTCAACAGTGCACAGGGGTTCCAATTGCTCCACATCTTTGCCAACACTTGTTATTTTTGTTTGTTTGTTTCCTTTTCCTTTCCCTTTCTTTTTCTTTCCTTCCCTTCTCTTTTCTTTGCAGTAATGGTCATCCTAACATATGTAAGGTGATAACTTATTGTGGTTTTGATTTGCATTTCCCTGGTGATTAGTGATATTGGGTATCTTTTCATGTACCTGTTATCTACTTGTATGTCTTATTTGGAGGAATGTCTATTCAAGTCTTGCACATTTTTAAGTTGGGTTATTTTTTGTTGTTATTGAATTATAGGAATTCCTTACATATTTTGGATATTATTCAGCTCCTTATCAGATATATGACTTGCAAATCTTTTCTCCCATTCTGTAGATTGCCTTTTCATTCTGTTGATATACGGGAGGTTTTAGTTTGATGTAGTCTTAGTTGTTTGTTTTTGCTTTTATTGCTTTTGCTTTTGGTGTGAAATCCAGAAAATCATTGCCAAGACCAATTTTGTGAACCTTTCCTCTGTGTTTTCTTCTAGGACATCATAATAATATTAAGTATTCTAATCCATGAACATGGGATATCTTTCCATTTATTTGTGTCTTTAATTTCTTTTAGCAATAATACTTTGTAGTTTTCAATGTAGAATTCTTTTTCCTCTTCTGTTAAGTTTATTCCTAAGTATTTTATTCTTTTTGATGCTATTGTAAACAGGGTTATTTTATTAATTTCCTTTCTGGGTTGATAATTTCTTGTATAAAGAAATATAAGTGACATTTGGATATTGATTTTGTATCCTATAGCTTTGCTGAATTCACTTATTAATTCTAACATGTTGTGTGTGTTTTTGTGTGAAATCTTTAGGGTTTTCTGTATCTAAGAGCATATCATCTGCAAGCAGACATAATGTAACTTCTTCTCTTCTGGTTTGGATACATTTTATTTATTTTTCTTGCCTCTGCTCTGGTTAGGACTTCCAGTATTGTGCTGAATAGAAGTAGCAAGAGTGGACATCCTTGCCTTGTCTTGTTCCTGGTCTTAGAGGAAAGGCTTTCGGTCTTTCAAAAATGAATATTATATATAATGAACTTTATTATGTTGAGGTAATTTTCTTTCATTAATTTTTTTTTTCTTTATTAATTTGAGAGAGAGAGGAGGAGAGAGATAGAAACACCGATGAGAGAGAACATCGATTGGCCTTGGCCGTCTCCTGCACCCTGCCCCCCACTGGGGATTTGGCCCACTACCTGGGCATGTGCCCTCACCGGGAGTTGAACTGGTGACCTCTTGGTGCATGGGTCAATGCTCAACCACTGAGCCACATCGGGTGGGCAAGGTAATTTTCTTCAATTCCTAGTTTGTTGAGTGGTTTCTTACCATAAAAAGGTGTTGAATTTTTGCCCCGGCCAGTGTGGCTCAGTTGATTGCAGCATTGTCTTGTGTACTGAAGTGTTGCAAGTTCAATTCCCAGTTGGGGCACATGCTCAGGTTGTGGGTTCCACCCCTGGTGTTGGGGCACATACGGTTGGGGAGGCAACCAGTCGATTGATATTTTATTGATTTTTTTCTATTTTCTAGTGCCTATATCATTTATTTCTGCTCTTATCTTTATTCTTTTCTTCCTGCTAACTTAGAGCTTTGTTTTTTTTATTTATTTGCTTGTTGGGTTGGTTATTTGAGATTTTTTAAAAATGTAGGTATTTACCACCATAAACTCTCCTCTTAGTACCACTTTTGCTGCATCCCATACATTTTGGCATGTTGTCTTTTAATTATTGTCTCAAGGTATTTTCTTTTTTCTTTTTATTTATTTATTTTTAAATCTTTATTGTTGAATGTAGAATGTATTACAGATGTTCCTCATTTTGCCCCCATTGACTCCCTCCTCCCCACTCCTGCCCCCTCCTGCCTTTTCCCACACTGTTGTCTGTGTCCATTGGTTATGCATATAAGTTCTTTGGTTTATTTCTTCCCACTCCCCAACCCCTTTCCCTTTGAGGTCTGTCAGTCTAGCAATGAATTTGTACTTCTTAATCCCTTCACCTTTTTCACCCATTCCCCCAACCCTCCTCCCATCTGGCAACCAACAAAATGTTCTCTGTATCTATGAGAATGTTTCTGTTCTGCCTGTTCATTTTGTTTGTAAATTCCATTGTCGATAGATATGTATTCATTGCCATTTTGTTTGTTCATATATTTTATCTTTTTCTTCAAAAAGACCCTTCATCATTTCATATAATAACGGTTTGGTGGTGATGAACTCCTTTAACTTTTTCTTGTCTGGGAAAGTCTTTATATGGCCATCGATTCTAAATGACAGCTTTGCAGGATAGAGTAATCTTGGTTGTAGTTTCTTGCTTTTCATCACTCTGAATATTTCTTGCCACCCCCTTCTGGCCTGCAAAGTTTCTTTTGAGAAATCAGCTGACAGCCTTATGGGAACTCCCTTGTAGGTAACTAGCTGCCTTTCTCTTGCTGCTTTTAAGATTCTCTCTTTGTCTTGAACCTTTTGCATTTTGATGATGACGTATCTTGGTGTGGGCCTCTTGGGGTTCATCTTGTTTGGGACTCTCTGTGCTTCCTGGACATGTATGCCTGTTTCATTACTAAGTTAGGGAAGTTTTCTGCCATTATTGTTTCAAATAGGTTTTTGATTTCTTGTTCTCTCTCTTCTCCTTCTGGCACCCCCAAGATGCGAATGTTGGCATGCTTGAAGTTGTCCCAGAGGCTCCTTATATTATCCTCATTTTTTTGGATTCTTTTTTCTTTTTGCTGTTCTGATTAGGTGTTTTTTGCTTCCTTATATTCCAAATCGATGGTTTGCTTCTTGGATTTACGTACTCTACTATTGAATCTGTGTAAATTATTCTTTATTTCAGTTAATGCCTCCTTCATTTCTGACTGTGCATCATCATTTCTGACTGGTCCTTTTTTATGCTCTTGAGGCCCTCACTAAGTTTGCTGAGCATCCTTATAAGCAGTATTTTGAACTCAGCATCTGTTAGGTTGTTTATCTCCATTTCGCTTAATTCTTTTCTTGGGGTTTTGTTCTGTTCTTTCATTTGGGACCTGTTTCTTTGTCTCCTCATTTTGGCTGCCTCTCTGTGTTTGTTTCTGCGTATTACTTAACGAGCGGTATGGGGCTAGCTGAGACCAGATGCTGCTTGTTTGAAAGAATTTAGGAAAAACCTGAAGCAGGATCCAAGACAGGCCGATCCTATGGTTAAGCAAGTGGCAACAGCTTGGGTGGGCCTGAAAGTTGGGTGGGGCAGGGCCTCAGGGAGTCACCAGGGCGGGGCTACCCGTGTGAGCCAGGTTGCCGGAGTCCCAGATATGGCTTCTGTGTCGCCCCAGGGAAGGGCTCACCAAAGGAACAAAGGCCTCTGACAGCACCCTTCCTGGAGAAAGCCCCCTCTCCAGCCCTCGCTCCAGTGCCAAACAGTTCAAACTGTTCTTCCCTGTATGTCTCTGGTGCCCCTCGAGCCGCCTCCCCTCCAAGCTTAGAGGGAGAGAGTCCCATAAGTCCGTGCGCGGGCCCTTTAAGGAGCTGTCTGGGTGGGGCTGCTGCTTTAATTCCGTAGTTGTAGGACTTCCATTCAGCTCGATTTCAGGCAGTTTTGAATGATGGTTGTTCTGTAGTTTAGTTGTAACTTTGATGTTGTTGTGGGAGGACGTGATACCGTTTACCTACGCCGCCATCTTGACCGGAAGTCTCAAGATATTTTCTAAATTTGTTTTTGATTTCTTCTCTGACCCACTGTGAAGTGTTTAATTTTTACATATTTGTGAATTTTTCAATTTTCCTTCTGCTATTGATATCCAGGATTTTGTGTGTGCGTGAGGAAAAGATACCTGGTGTGATTTTAATTATAAATTTGTTAAGACTTGTTTTGTGGCCTAACCTATGATCTATTCTAGAGAATGTTCTGTGTGTGCTTGAGAAGAATGTGTGTTTTACTGCTGTTATAAGGAATGTTCTGTATGTGTCTGGTATGTCCATTTGATCTATAGCATTGTTCAAGTTCTGTATTTCCTTATTGATCTTCTGTCTGGATGTCCTATTTGTTTGAAAGTGGGGTATTGAAATCTTCTACTATTATTGTTTTCCTGTCTATTTCTCCATTTAGTATTTTAATGTTTGCTTTATACATTTTGGTGCACTGGTGTTGAGTTTATATATACTTGTAATTGTTTTATCTTTCTGGTAAGTTGACCGTTTTATCATTATATAATATCTTTGTCCTTTGTGACAGCTTTTGACTTAAGGTTATTTTTTCTGATATCAGTATGGCTATCTCTGCTCTCTTTTTGCATAGAATACCTTTTTCTATCCTTTCGCTTTCAGTCAACGTGTGTCTTTAAATCTAAAATGAATCTCTTGTCACAGCATATGGTTAGATCTTATATTTTTAAATCCATTCAACCATCAAAATTGTTACAGTTTTTAATCATTTCTTTAAACCCAGTTAATCTGTAAATCTGGATGCTTTTAAATCCAAGTATTTCTCACAACTAAAGACCTCTAGTAGCTTGAAATTTTTTCCTCATTTTATATTCTTATTTTCTTTTTTCTCCTTTAACAGAGGCAACACGTTTGACTCATTGACAACATCACAATCTGATTTCGAAGATGTGTTCTACAAACCCAGGCAACTGGGTCACATTTGATGATGACCCTGCATTTCAGTCTTCTCAAAAGTCAAAGAATTTTCCTCGGGAGAATCAAGGCATCTGTAGGCCAAATGGACTTAAGCTGAACCTTTCCGGTCCTAAGGAATTACCCAGTGGGTCTTCCTCCACCAGTAGTACCCCTCTCCCCTCTCCCATCATAGACTTCTACTTCAGTCCAGGACCTCCAAGTAATTCTCCTCTTTCTACACCTACCAAAGACTTCCCAGGAATTCCTGGCATCCCCAAAGCAGGGACTCACATGCTTTATCCTATTCCAGAATTATCTTCAAACAGTCCACTCACAACTCCTGGAGCAGATTCTTCTGTATCGCCTACTAAACCAACATGTTTATCCCATGCTTCCTTACCCAGTGACACCTCATGTACACTTCCAGCTCCCAAAGTGGACCTTCCAGATGGAGTTAGTTCTCCGCAGGCTGAAAGCCCAGGTCTCCAAAGCGATGCTCTCCAGTTTCAGTATTTTCAGGAGGACTGTGCCTTTTCAAGTCCATTTTGGAAAGAAGAAGGAAGTGCTTCCCAGTTCACCTTTGACCCTGCAGGAAGTAGAAAGGGGTTCCCATCAAGAGACAAAGAAATGCCAATTGATCAAAAAAGCTTAAATCAGTGTTCACTCAACTACATCTGTAAGAAGCTTGAACATCTCCAATCAGCTGAGAACCAAGACTCATTTGGAAATTTGTCGATGCAATGTCTGTATGCTGAAGATACAGCCTCTTCCTTTGTCCCCCACACGCTTTTCAGGAGTCAGCCCAAACCTGGATGGTCTTTCATGCTGAGAATTCCTGAGAAGAAGAACATGATGTCTTCCCGTCAGTGGGGACCCATTTTTTTAAAAGTCTTACCTGGAGGGATTTTACAAATGTATTATGAGAAGGGGTTAGAAAAACCATTTAAAGAGTTGCAGCTTGATCCACAGTGCAGGCTTTCTGAACCCAAACTTGAGAACTTCAGTGTGGCGGGAAAAATCCATACTGTGAAGATTGAACACGTGTCTTACACAGAAAAAAGAAAATACCATTCTAAGACAGAAGTCGTTCATGAGCCAGACATAGAACAGATGCTCAAGTTGGGGTCCACAGAGTACCGCGACTTCCTCGACTTTCTGACTACGGTGGAGGAGGAGCTGCTGAAGCTGCCAGCGGCTTCAAAACCAAAAAAGAATTATGAGGAACAAGAAATTTCCCTTGAAATTGTGGACAACTTTTGGGGTAAAATCACTAAAGAAGAAGGAAGGTTGGTTGAAAGTGCTGTGGTAACGCAGGTGTGTTGCCTCTGCTTTGTGAACGGGAGTGCGGAGTGCTTCTTGACACTGAACGATCTTGAGCTGCAGAAGCGAAATGAACACTACTTTGAAACAGACCCAGAGAAGAAGGGGATTGATATTCTTGAATATCATTTTCATAAGTGTGTGAAAGCACAAGAATTTGAGCGATCAAGAATCATTAAGTTTTTGCCTCTGGATGCCTGCCGGTTTGAGCTGATGCGTTTCAAGACTCTGTATAATGGGGAAGATCTTCCCTTTTCCCTGAAGTCCATGGTGGTTGTCCAGGGGGCCTATGTGGAGCTTCAGGCCTTTGTCAACATGGCCCCATTGCTTCAGAGGTCATCCCATGCCAGTTCCTTGCGGTCCTGTGACAACATAATGATACACTTTCCCGTCCCATCGCAGTGGATCAAGGCTCTCTGGACCATGAACCTTCAGAGGCAGAAGTCCCTGAAAGCCAAAATGAACCGTCGGGCATGTCTGGGGAGTTTGCATGAACCTGAATCTGAACCTGTCATACAGGTCACTGTGGGGTCAGCGAAATATGAGAGTGCCTACCGAGCCGTGGTATGGAAGATAGACCGGCTTCCTGATAAACATTCAAGTAAATATTCAACACCCTGAGTTGATTTTGATGTGAAATAGCTTCAATGTTTTCATCTTCCTTGGACTGAAACCAGGCTGAGGCAGATGGTAACTTCAGTCAGCTGAGGACTGCTTATACATTGCTGGGTGGGAGATGGGACATTTAGTTAAAAAGCTCGCTGATTTCATCCTCTGGGGCCTGTTTCTACCAGATAGATTTAACTTTAAATTAAAAATATATATATCATAAATATTATCCTAGACTAGGATTTAGTTGTAGATGGTGACATCGAGGGAAAATTTGTAGTTGACTTCTTGACATTAGCTTCCCTAGTTAACCTGTAAAGACCTGCATCCATGAGTATACCTGAACATTTTCACTTTCTTAGCCAGTACCTCTTCTTCCTTCAGTTTTGCTCCATGCGGTTTGAAAGAAGACTGCCTTTCACTGGGGAGGTGAAGGATGGCTGAGGAAGTTCAGAAGAGCTACCCCAAGACAATGGCAGATTACCTGTGGGCCTGGGGGAGGGAGAGGGGGAGGAGGCTGAGGTCTCTGGTTTTGGCGAACAGGTCGGCAGTGGTGCCATTAGCTGAAATAGCCTGGCTCCTGTCATCACTCTTCCTTTTAAAATCTGTCTGTTTCCCAGCCCTGGCTTCCTGTCAGCGTCCCTAGAATCACTAGATCTTTAAAAACATCATACCATATTTAGGCCTCATCCCAACCATGACTCTCTGGCAGGGGGAGGCTCAGGTATGGATGCTGATAAAAGGCTCTCCCAGGCATCCAGGGTTGAGAACTACTGACCTGGGAGCTCTCCTGTGGGACCTGTTATGGTCCCCTAGGCAGAGATCATCCCTCCCTGCGCTGTCTGTCCTTGTGTCTCTAGAACTCTGTTATTACCCTCGTACCTGTATTTACTAGCAGTTGAGCTCACTAAGAACAATTACAAGAGTGGGTATTCCCAGAGAGGGGGCTGGACTTGATCTTGGTCTTTGGGAATTCTTTTTGAAGACGTTCATAGCACCAGGCCCACACAGAACAACATTTTACAAGCATTCCATTGATAATTTACTGAATAAATCCTTTGAGGTCAAAACTGCTTTGTTCAGATCAGGTCTGTGTGCAAAGAAGAGGCCCAGGGAAAAGGCAAATAGACTGTATTAGGTAGAGTCTAGGGGGCAGGGTGTGGCTCTGGCAGGTGGGATGCTGTGGTCCTGTCTTGTGCCTTCATCATTGTGGAGGTGGGGGCGGGAATACAAAGAGTGAGAGGGTGCCTGGCAACTTGCCTCTGGGGGAGAAGAAGCATAGGAATAATAAAGTTGGGTGGGGAGGAAATCTATGTCCAAGGCAATGCTTCTCAAACTTTTGTGTGCACATGAATCACCTTGTTAAAATGTAGTTTGTGATTCAACAGGTGGGGCCCGATAACTGTGTTTCACACATGTTCTCAGGTGATACCAATGCTGCTGGCCCACAGACCACACATAGAATAACAGGGTCTTAGAATACATCTCTATTTTTCTATATGATTTTTAAATCAATTGGTGTTTAGAGAACAGCAGATTTTAAAAAAGGCTTTAAAACTTTACCCTTTCCAAGTTAGTTTCTGAAAAACCTATGTACTGTTAGGGGAAAAAAAATACTTAAATTGGAAAATGAAAAAGAAATAAAAACTAGTCTACTAGGTGCAAATTTAAAAAAAATTATATCTTTCCTTCCTGGGGAATTCTGAGGTCAGGATTGACTTCTTTTTCACATACATGTGATTCCAGGGGAAGTGGGAAAGGCTGCTGGACCCTCAAACGTCTCTTCTCCTAGCATGTCAATGCTTAATATTTCTTTAAGAGTGGGCAGGTTTTTCATTTTACAACAAAAGTTGGCCTTGGGCAGGAAGCTCAGATAGTTCTATCAGACTAAGGTGTGGTGACAGCAAAGGAACAGAGGAGCCTTTCCCGAGGGCAGGCTTTGGTGGGGGTTTGGGGGGTTGGGGGTTTGGGAAAGAGGTGGGTGGGGGGAGAAAGGAAGAAGAGGAAAAGAAGGAACAAATGAGAACTGCTGGTTAACCAAAGGAGGTATAGGTGGTGGCACCGGATTAGAAAGCAGAGGGAGTGGTGGAGGGTCAATTAACAAATATATCTACTGTATCTCTGTTTCCCAGTTTGCCTTTACTTTTTCTCTTTGTTCTCTGTCACCAGCACATCGGTTGCTTTCTCCTTCTCCACTGGCATCATTCTCTTTTCATTCATACCCTCAACAGTTTGTTTCAGATGGGAAATATTTTGGTTCAAGACTAGACTTATTTAGGTGTGATTTGCATTCCCTGTCCTGAGAAAGTGATGGTGAGAGATAACAATTACCAAAGCCTGAGAGTGCCCCCTGCTGGTCAGTACTAAGATAAATAATGATTTTCCTCTTCTATTCATTTATTTGTAAATTCATTAAGCCCCCAACGTGCCAGACATTGTCCTAGGGACAGACATGATACCTCTCCTCACGGAGATCAAAGTCTAAAGGTGCAGTATGTTATTAAACATTGTAGAGTATTTAGTTTTTAAAAGTCAAGGAAAATATGCCAGGAAACCTCAAGGAACAATGCTCTTCTTTACCTTTTTTTTTTTTTTTTTATCCTCACCCGAGGATATTTTTCCATTTTTTGTACAGATAGAGTGGGAGGGAGAGAGAGTGAGAAACATCCACGTGAAAGGGACACATCGAGTGGCTGCCACCCGCACGACCAACCAGGGCCGGGGACAAACTGCAACCGAAGTACGTGCCCTTAGCGGGAACCGAACCCGGGTCTCTCCGGACCGCAGGCCGACGCTCTAACCGCTGAGCCAAACTGGCCAGGGCTCCTTTACCTTTTAACAGTTTTTTAGAAAAGCAAGGAGAAAGGTTTGTTTCTAACATTTTTTTGGAGTACTAGGTCTTCAACTTGGGTAATTTTGATTGCAAAATATTCCAAAAGAGGTTTTTTTCTTTTAAAACGTGAATACCAAATTAGGTCATCTCTAGTATAATTTTTAGCTCTAAAAGCGTAGCATTCACAGTCACTTCATTAGCAACATTATACTAATTAGATAATAATATTGGGTTTATAATTGAATAGTACTTTGCAAAGTAATTTTATCTCTGCCGCTGTAGTATACCACCGCTCTAGTGCTGTAGGTCTGCTGACTGCTTTGTTCAATCCTCACAACCATCCTATAAGGTTTATGTTGTTATCATCACCATCACCCTTGTTTTCAGATGGGGAAGCTGAGGCTCAGAGAGATCAAGTAACTTGCCTAGGACTACACAGCTATTAAGTAGCTGAGCTGAGACTGGACCTTGGGCCATCTGGGTCCAGTGTTTGTATTCTTAACCACTGTGTGTCATAAAGGACATACAAGTTCCTGAATTCAGTTTGAACTTACTGTATCCTCACCGCAGGCAGAAGAGTAGGAACGGTAGTGGATTGTGGGATCTCCCCTGGGTATATGTGTGTGTGAATAAAGTTGTCACCTGCCTGCAGTGATCTGGGTGGCTTAGAACACCTCAGAGGCCACGGTGGTCCACTACGTGTAAGTGCTGCAGATGGCTAGTGAGCCTCTGTCGGCTAATTGATTGATGACGTCTCAAGGCCTTTACAACCTTAGAATTCTATTAGTCTTTCTACAAGAAACAGATGGTAAGGAATGAAAGGCAATTTATCTTTTAAGAATTAAGTGAAAATCCTTTAAACTCTTGTTTTTGTGCCTAAAGCTATATTCTGATGAAAATGTTCTTTCTGAAGCGATGTCAGTGCTATAGGAATTTAATCTGGCTTTGAAATTACTTTCACCTCATATATTTTTTAAAGTAAAGATAGCTGCATTGGATATGTAGATGCTATGGACAGTACAACGGAATCATGGAACATTTAAGGAGTTACTATAGTGATTACAATGAAAATATTTTTTACTCCATTATAACACACACACACACGTACTTTACATGACTACACTTAAAATTTTTGCATTTAATTGATATCCCTGCATCTGGCACAGAGCCTGGCCTGGCATAGAATAGATGCTCAATAAATGACACATTGAATTAAGTGAAAACAAATATTAGATTGAAACATTGAAAGCCAATATGCCCAACACTGTACATCTGTTTTCATCAAAGCTTTAAGAAGAATGAGTGGAAATTAATGTATTAAAATCTCTTCTTCTGAAGAAGGAATTTTTGGCATAGGATATTTTCTGAAATGTAGTAAAATTTCTTTAGGTTTAACTTAAAAAAAATCAGAATTTTTAATAAGGTGACCTAAATTAGGCTGAAGTTTAACTTTACATTAAGTATCAATCAATAAAGTAGTAAGAAAATGAATTAATTAAGAATTAGTATAAGAGCTTATTCAGTCTGCTTATGAGAGTTTTTTTTTTACAGATCCTACACAGTGGTAGCCAAATAATGATACTTAATATAAATATAATTTATCTTTTTTTAATTGTCACCCAAGGATATTTTTTCATCTATTTTCAGACAGAGTGGGAGGGAGAGATAGAGAGAGAGAGAGAAACATCGATGTGAGAGAGACACATTGATTGGTTGCTTCCCGAAGGACCCTGACCAGGCCAGGGACTGAACCGCAACCAAGGTATGTGCTGTTGGACAGAATCGAACCTGCGACTCTTTGGCCCCCTGACTGATGCTCTAACTGCTGAGCCAAACCGGCCAGGGCAGTACTACTTATCTTTTAATTAAAGAAACTTAGTGTACTTCTAACTGAAAACAGTTTTTAGGAGTTAATATATGCATGTATACAGTAATAAAGTTGTATTTGTTTTAAAGCTAGTACTTAAAAATCGCAGATTTCCCCCTAGTTAGTGCAGAATTGTGAATTCTGGTGGTATTTTGTTCAAATGGAATTCACACTGCCATAGTGCTAATGGAATTACTTGTTAAAGAGAGGGATGAGAGCCTTTTACAGTCAAGAGAAATGTTTGATGGCATTGAAATACTTTGACTGACAATTTGATTTTTTCTTCAAGGTCCCGATCATCCCCATTGTTTGTCATACAAACTAGAACTTGGATCAGACCAAGAAATTCCCTCTGATTGGTACCCATTTGCTACTGTTCAGTTTGGGATGCTTGACACCTGTGCCTCAAGGACAGAGGTCAGGTCTTTGGGGGTGGAGAGTGATGTTCAGCCACAGAAACACATTCATCAGCGAGCTTGCTACAACATCCAGGTATGTCCCAAACCTCTTTGGCTCCTGTTGAGGCTTCTAGAGCTGTGACCTGATTGATTTTAAATATTTGCTTTGCCCTCTTATGTGACCATGTATATGTATGAGTGTGTGTGTGTGTGTGTGTGTGTGTGTGTGTGTGTGTGTATTTGACTTAGAAAAGAGCTCAACCATGGAAACTTTATGATTATCAGTGATCCTAGTTTGTCCCCTCAGTTCTAGAGAATGTTAAGAGCCTGAGCACATAGTGCCACATACTTAATCAGCTTTCAATGGAAAACAGGGCATTAGAAATGAATTAACATTTCAGAAGCATATTTATAATAAAAATTAAATTAGAATAGCATTTTCCAATATGTGTGCTGTGGAACATGTATCCAAGGATAAAGTAAGTTCAGGAATGCTGTACACTAAATTAATGTTAAACAAAGGCTCTGAGAAGTTCTGCAATCAAGAAACTTGTTAAACCTTAACAGTTTTCCCCAGCTTATTGATTATGAAATCTGGTCTCTGTGGGCATGTGCAAGTGTATGTGTATGTAAAACATATATCAATATCTTCTGAAATAGTATTCTGTGAAGCACCCCTTGGGAAATGCTGAGTTGCTCTATTACAACAATTTTATTTTATTTTTACTATTATTGTTTTTTTTAATCCTTACCTGAGGATAGTTTTCCATTGATTTCTTTTTCTTTTTAGAAAGAATGAAAAGGAGGGAGAAAAAGAGAGAGAGAGAGAGAAACATTGATGTAAGAGAGCCACATTGATTGGTTATCTTCCACATGACCCCGACTGGGGACAGGGATAGAACCTGCAACCCAGGTACATGCCTTTTACTGGGAATCGAACCCATCACCCTTCAGTCCATGGGCCGACACTGTAACTGATGAGCCAAACTGGCCAGGGATATTACAACAATTTTAAATGTTCGCCATCAGTGCTTCTGCATTCTTAGGCCAGGTGAATGAAAGAGTGACATACATTTGCACCTGTTTCCAAACTGGCTTTCCTTCTCATCTTTGAAGTTAGTAGATATAGAGATAACCTTTGCCATATATTTCCCATAGTATCTTTTCTTTCTTTCTTTTTTTAAAAAAATGTTTTTATTGATTTTAAAGAGAGAAAGGAAGGGGGAGAGAGAGAGAGAGAAACATTGATGTGAGAGAGAAACATCAATTGGCTGCCTCCTACGTGTCTCCCACTGGGGATTGAGCCTACAACCCAGGCATGTGCCCTGACTGAGAATCGAACTCACCAGTTCGATTTGGTTCATGGGACGATGCTCAACCAACTGAGCCACACCAGCCAGGGCTCCCATTGTATCTTGAAATGGTGATATATTACTGATTTTGTTTACAAATATATTATTTCATTAGAAAATATTTCCAAAGCCAGAAAACATAAACAACAAATAACAAGCAGGTGGTTCCATTTAGAATTTATGTATTTTTCTTTTTGTTTTGCACATGAGTAGCATTTTATACTTTCTAATATCATTTTGAAATCTATGTTGCTTGAATCTCAGCTATGATGAATGCCATTCTGATTTTCTACTCATAAACACCAACTGGTGGTTCAATAATACAGTAATATGTCAGGATTTTTCTTTATTTTGGACCATCTGTTTAGAAGTGTATATGTTTGGATCCAGTGATTTTCCTTGTTATTGTTGATGATAAAGTAAATGAATGATGGGTGGTTGCTCTCCTGCGCAGCCCCTTGGAGACCTGAGCACTTATTCCCCCAGCAGCTGGGAATTGCCCTGGCTAAAGAAAGCTCCAGGTCCTGACCTCTTCCTGGGGCAGCTTTCGTCCAGTGACTGGTGAATGCGGGGGTGTGAAGACCCTTTTGCCTCAGCTTGGTAACTCTGCAGAGTCTCTCCCTGGGGATCAGCTGAAGCCTTTATTGTGACCTCATTGTAGCCCAACTTCTCCCTCTTCCTGTTCTGCTTTCTTTCCTCCCCTCCCCAACAGGTGCCCACCCCAACAGCTCTCCCCAGTGGACTTTCTGCATAACACTCTCCATCCCAGAGTTTGCATCTTGGGAGACCTGACCTGTAACACTAGGTGTATAAGTATTATGTGTGACTGAAATGTGGGTCAAGTGCACTCGGAGACTTTGTTCGTACCTTGTTTCCTATTCACGGGATGTGCCAGTTTCATAGTTTTAGAGGACAGCTCAAAATTATGTAATAAAGTCTCTAGTTTAATAGCATTAATAGCATTAATGGATCTGCACTTGGTGGCAGTCGGTTTCAAAATGTTACCTTACATTTAATAAGTATTTATTGAGTGATTTCAAAATGCCAGGTGCTGCTCTGGATGCTGGGGACACAAGCGTGAATAAGAAATAGATCCCTGTCCTCATGCAGCTTATCTAGTGGGGGAACAAAAAATAATCAGTAAACGAATAAATAATATAATTTCAAATAGTGACAGATTCTAAGGAGAGAATAAAATGGGTTAATAGTATTGAGAGTGATGGGGGCTTCCTTATTGAGAGTGGTCCAGGGGAAAGTAACACTTGAGATGAAAAAGATAAGGGGCAGGCAGATGGTTTGGCCGAGCTAGTTTACTAGCTTGTAACCTAGTTTGTATTAGTTTATTGGGGAGATTATTTGGGGAGTGTTATAAGTCTCAGGTGGGCCAAAGCTTGGATCTATTATATGGGGGTATAATTGATCACATGCCTAGCCAGAGGTCTGTCTTATCAATATATGTATTCTGTATACATTTTATAAACAATACATTTAACTGCCCTGACCAGTGTGAATCAGTGGTTAGAGTGTTAGCTCACACACCAAAGTGTCGAGGGTTTGATTTCTGGTCAAGGGCACATACCTCGGTTGCAGGTTTGATCCTAGGCTCTGTCTTGGGTGTGTATGGGAGGCAAAACGGTTGATGTGTCTTTCTCACATCGATCTCTCTCTCTCTCCCCCTCAATCCCTCCCTTCATCTCAGCCAGTGAGACTCAGTGGGTTGAGCATCGGCCCATGGACTTAGAGGTCCTGGTTTGATTTTCAGTCAGGGCACATGCCGGGGTTTCTGGCTTGATCTCCAGTAGGGGGCGTGCAGGAAGCAGCTGATCAATGTTTCTCTCTCACATCGATGTTTCTATCTGTCTCTTCCTCTCAAAAATCAACAAAAAACATTAAAAAAAAAAAGAAAGAAAAAAATATCCTCGGGTGAGGATTAATAACAACACACACACACACACACACACACACACACACACATATCTTAGAAGAGGAGAGAATTTTAGTTCTTTTCAAGATTTAACCTTAGATGGTTAAATCTATAAAAATTATAGATGGAAGGAGAAGGACTGGGTGGGGGTGGGGGTTGTTGCCTAAAGGAGAGGAGAGTGCCTCCCTGCAGAGCTAGCCTGAGAGGATGGAAGGGCTGTGTCTGTGTCCAAAGGGTGATGTGGCTGCAGCCTTTGCCTCATGTATGAAATGGGACTGAACAGGTGCTTGTGCTGTGTTGCATTTGTTAATGCTGCCCATGTTTTGCTTTTGCATAACAGGTTGAAATAGAAAAGAAGTGGATTAAAATCGATGGAGAAGACCCAGATAAAGCTGGTGACTGCATAACTCAGTAGGAGTAGCAAGAGTTAATGCTGACGACCCATTTTCAAATATGTAATTTATAGAAACCACACACAGCTCTGCTACTGTGTAGTGGAAATGACTTCTGAACAGAGGGCTTAGGACAGGTCCAGTGGCTGTGTTTTAGAGAAGTTTAGGCCTGAAACCAAACAATCTATATTTGATATGTTTTTTTCCCCAGGAGTTTAATCCAAAATGTGTCTATAATTTACGTGATGTTTCTGCTTCCTATTGAAACTCAAAGGTGCTGTTATTCAGTGTGTGACCCAACCGCCAGTTTGGCTAACGGGTTTTTGATTTTTGATTACTCACTGGCTTATTATTTTGTGCTTTGGACTTGTCATATTTATTATCCTCCAGTTTCTATTTCTTCTTGCTATGTTAGCACCTGTACTGAAGGGTGAGGCAATCAAAAGAAACATAGACCAAATTACTTAATTTTCCCACTTGCTTATCTCTGAAATGTGGCCAGGTATAGTATGATGCTGACACCACAGGCTAAAATGGAGTCGTGGACGAATCTGTCCTCTTACCACATTGCGAGTCATCATGGGCTGTATTTGGTACCTGTCTTTCCTTCATGGCATTATTGTTCTCCACATGCATTTGTATTCTGGTGCGTGTTGCAAAGAAGCTATTTCTGTTGATATACACATTTTAGTACAAGTTACTAAGACCTATTGCCTTTTGCTTGGAGAGATTTCTTTTAAAATGGAATCCCAGTATTGGGTACTCATTAAAATATTTATGTACATTAAAGACGAATGTTTAAAGTTCATGAATATTCTTTCCCAAAAGTACAGACTCTGAGAATGTATTTTGATAAAGTATTATTTGTGATTAATACAAGCCTCTCTTGAGTAGAAGTCTAACTCATGATTGTTTTATGCCAGTTCTACTAAATTTAGGGTATTTTTCTTTAAATGAAACACACTAGTTATTTTCCCTAGATTTTTGACATTTCTGATCGTCAGTCAGCTAAATGTTTGATTTCTAATGAAAAGCCAGTAGCATTAGTGGTTATAATTTGTTTATAATTTCCTTTCAGTGTTTATAGTGAAAGGTCAGATTCTAAAATTTATGAAATCTATATTCTAGGTACTTTTTAGTCTGAAAAACAAAGTCCTTCATTTGGTATTAACACACCTTCAATTTATGTTGAGTCTACAATATGATTAGGAGGTATTTTTCTCTATTTACTAGATTTGTTTTGAGTCAAAACTGATATAATAATGTTCTTCCCAACAACATTTATTTGTCAGCCCAGATTTTATATCTTATGTTTTATTTAATATTGTGTTACATTCATTGTAATCTGTTCTAAAACCAGATTAAAACGAACATGTATGATGGTTTGTATCAATCAGCAGATTTTATTGCTTTTCATTATTTTGCTGTAACAGCAAGGAAGGCAAAAGTTGACTGTTAAAATGAATTGTTATTGCTCTTCTTAACTCTACTTGATGCATTGCTCATAATATCATATGCTTGAGACTCATTGTTGATGTATAGGAGGGCAAATCTGTGTGCGCGCCATTGAAAAACAAATCCTCCATCGTTCCCCGTCATCGGTGCAGCACATTCTGGAGGGACTTCGGTCTGCTCAACACAAATATGGAGGCGGCTGGACGTGATGCTGCTGCAGATCCCAGAGAAGCAGCTGGGTTAATTACTGCCATTCTTCTCAAATCTGTTTTGTGGCATTCTGCCCATAAAGAACTCAGAGTCTGATTCAGTTGAACTTAATAAATATTTACACCTCAGAATAATGTCAGCAAAGGGTTCAATTAATCACTTCTTGTGCTTCATACGTTGCCCAGTTTCTGTGACTGCCTCACTGCTGGGGTCACTCATTTACCAGCCACCTAGCCGTCAGGAGCATCTCAAGATTCAGTGTTGGAAACAGTAACAAACTGCTGACTAAAGCCAAGTGGAGTTTCTGCTGCAATGCAAAGGTTGATAGTGTTAACAGTGGGGTGCTATGGCATAATTGTTAATTTGCACATCTATTAGGATCCTTAAATATTCATTACTTAGCGCTAAATTAACATTCTGTGGAGGGAGGAGAGGCTTTTTAATACAATTCTTCTGACCTCAGAATGGCAGAAGGTCAGCTGTGACCTTGGTGCTGGAAGTAAAAACTCAGGTAGGGTCCACTTAAACTTACAAATTAAGAAGTAGAATCTCCTTTACTAGAAAGTAAGTGATGATCTTAAAGACAATAACTACAATAAGAAAAACCCCTGCTTTCAAGGTTGGGAAGGGTTTCCAGCATTTTAATTTAGGTAATTTAGGTCAATCCTTTCTGAGTTTGACCTTTTAGGGGTCAGTCATTTTATTGAACACATCAGGCTTCCAAGGACTTGACCAGTTTCTGACTAGTGGTCCTGCTCTAATTTTTCAGGTCTGGTTGCCTTACCAAAGGATCATATTAACTGTGTAAATGGATTAATGGTTTGACGGTTACTTGATCAATTGTACAGATCTGAATTTTAGAACATTTTCTCTTTCTATGGGAATAGAAATAGTTTATTCACTTAAAAAGGTATGAAAAAATATACTTTTCAACACATAAATAAAGGTTGTATTTGTTTTTTGTTAACCAGAGAATATTTTTTTCATTGATTTTTAGAGAGAGTGGAAGGGAAGGAGGGAGAAACATTGATTGGTTGCTTCCCACACTTGCCCCAACCAGCCAGGGATCGAACCTGCAACACTTCCGTGCTCAGCCAATACTCTATCCACTGAAGCACACTGACCAGGACATTATGTTTGTTTTTTTTGTTTTTTGTTTTTGTTTTTTACCTGATTTATATATTAAACAGTTTTAGGATTTAGTTTTCTTCCTTCTGAAACTGTGCTTATGATATAGCCTTTTCTTATAAGTTCAGTTAGAAATCCTTCCTTAATAATTATTATATCTTACTTAAAATATTACTTTATGTCATAGCAACACAAATATATAACAAATTGAGCTTTAATAATTGTGTAACAAAGTATTTGGTAGATTGCATATTGACTTTTCAAAATTAAAGATGTATTTCAAATGATTCTTGCTGTGGATGGACTTATATCTTCTTCTGCAAGGTCTGGGACTATATTCTTAAAGGTGTGAAATCAATTTCAATAACCTTAAACAATTGACTCTCTGTCAGGCAAGCGTATACTGCTTTTCTGTTTAAGGAGTCAGTGAACATGACATCTTGGCACATCCTGGAAAAATAACACCACCAAACTATAATCTGTGATGTTAAAGATGACTTTTAAGAGAGGATATAATCATTATGCTCCTAAAGAAATAATGTGAGTATATGCCCAAGGTTTTACTTAACTCACTATCTTATCAGGGAACTGTTAAGATGTTGCAGCTGGTTCCAAGGAGGATTCAAAGAGCAGAGAGACATGTAGGAAAAAAGGAATTCTGAAATGAATTTCCAAATAGAGGTAAAATGAACTGATCCACAGGGCGATAATCAATAATCAATTTCCCCTACTGCCCCACAATTAATTTGCATTTGTGTGGACTCATATTATGTGTATTATCAGTTTTCTAAAACATACAGAGCTGTAAAATAATGCAAAGACAATGAAAGGGGTTGATACCCTGGACAAATGATCTAGGTAGGACTCCTGTTAATCAAAGCCTTTCACAGTTTTTTCTGACAACAGGACAAACTTTGTCCACAGGAGAATTCTAAAGAATTTCAAATGGCAACTAGTATTATAGATATGTTGTGCATTTAAAACAAATTTTTATTTTTTTTATTTATTTTTTTGTTCAGGTAGAGTGGGAGGGAGAGAGAGGAAGAGAAACATCGACGTGAAAGGGACACATCGAGTGGCTGCCACCCGCACGACCCAACCAGGGCTGGGGACAAACTGCAACCGAGGTACGTGCCCTTAGCGGGAACCGAACCCGGGTCTCTCGGGACCGCAGGCCGATGCTCTAACCGCTGAGCCAAACCAGCCAGGGCTAAAACAAATTTTTAAAAGTTCGGAAAACTTTTTATATAATTGTGCAGAATATATATCAGATAAGGTGTATGTTGAAGGGAGAGGCCATAAAAGATGTGAAGATAAATCAGCTCTAAATAGAAACCAATCTAACAACCTCCCTACCTGCCCTTTTTATGAAAAAGCTGCTGTGAACGGTGAGAGAATAATTTTTTTCTACTCTTCTAAATTTTTCTAAACAAATTGAGATGAGGCAGATTAACGAGAAAACAACCAAGTTTATTGCCTATGTACTTATGGGTTCCATAAGAATTTGGAACCAAGGACAATTTGGGCAGTTGAGGTCCTGGTTTGGAACTCCAGTGGGGAGGAAGGCAGTTCACATGGAGATGAAAAGCAAATGTTTGCTGGGCCATCTTTAACAATGGACAGAGGACTTTAACAATGGATGGAGGACTTGCTGGATTCCTCCCTGTCCATCACACATAGGTCATATCAAACTATAATTATCTATGATAATAGCTCCCTTCCTGGAGAGGGTCCTCTATTTAAATTATTTTAGGCAGGGGGAAGGTCAGAGGTTATTCCTGAGTCTTGTTTCTTAAAAATAACAAGTTTAAAATAGTTTCTTATAAAAAATCAGTTTAAGCCCGACCTGTGTGGCTCAGTGGATTGAGCGTCATCCCATGTACTGAGAGGTTCTGGTTCGATTCCTGGTTGAGGCACATGCCTGGGTTGTGGGCTCGGTCCCCAGTGGGGGGCATGCAGGAGGCAACCAATTGATATATCTCTCTCACATCGATGTTTCTATCTTTCTCTTCCTTCCTCTCTAAAAAATTAATTAAAAATCAATAAAAACAAATTTAAAAAATAATCACTGTCCCCCCCCAAAAGGCATGATTTGGGTTTGCAGACTCTGCTCCCCTCACTGCCATGTGTTGAAATTTAACTTTGATGTAGATATCAAAGTTAAATTTCAAAACTGCATTATGAAATAAAACTTCATAGAGGCCAGATCATTAAGCACTGTTTTAGGGCATGGCTCTAATTTCTAAGGAACAACAAAGGATTAATAAGTACCCTAAAACTGATCATATTTGTAACAGAATTCCTCAAATTCTCATCCATCAATTCTTTCCTGCTTTGTCTCAACTTCACCCCTGTTGTGTACACTCGATTTTGCTGTCTCTCCCAACCCCTCCCACTCTCTGGAGCTACTCTACTCCAAGCATCTTTTATGTCCTTTCCCAGGGTCCTAAGGCATAGGGTTGGGTGTATCGGATTAAACCTTATGAAATGGCCAATATTTAATGATGCTTGATGGCACAACCTAATTACCTACATATTTTCCCAGTGTATATGAAACAAAATATTTTTCATGTTACAGTTGCATTGTAAACGTTTCTACTTTGAACTGGTATCTAAATATGAATTTGACTGTAAATTAATTTTTACAGCAAGGCAGAATTGCTGGTCAGAAAGTAAATAGTTGAGTTACAAAAATAACAGATAAGGTTGCAGGTTTTTTTTTGTTTTTTTTTCCTGGTACGTGCCCTTAGTAGGAAATGAACCCGGGACTTTCTGGTCTCTAGGCTGATGCTCCAACCGCTGAGCTAAACCAGCCAGGGCTGAAGTTGCAGGTTTTAAAGTCACGTTTTATCTGTAAAGAAAAGGAATCTTTTCTTCCTAGGAATCAGTTATTCCTAGAAAACAAATGATGTTTCCCCATCTCTATGCTTGAAACTATTACCCTTATATATTTCGCCAAGGACGGAAAAGATGAGCCTTTTCTCAGTTCTCGTTCTCTTTGATCTTTAGTTGCCTTTTGCTACTTTTGACTCATTCCCCTCCTTGAAATATTCTATTTCTTGACTTTATTCAACGGCCCCTTTCTGGAGTCCCTCATTCTATATCCTTGCTGTTTCTTTACCTCCTTTGGTTGTTTCTCTTCTTCTTCCTAGCCCCTAACTATGAATGCTAAAAATCTGTCCTTAGTCCTTTTCATATATACATACTTTAAAGATCTCATTTATCTTTATATTGCCAGCCAGATCTAGGTAAGTCATTCCCCAAACTGTCCAAGGCTATGTTTTAAAAGATTGAATGAAGTTCATTTCTATGAGACTTTCTGGTGAAGAAATGCAAATCACCATTAGATTTCTGGGATTTAAACTTTTCCCTTATCTTCCCCTCCTGTATCTGCTCCAGAAAAGCCTTCCAACCCTCAGTGGGAGGATAATTTATTTAAAAAACATGATTGTGTGTGTTGACATTTTCCTGAAAAGCCCATTTTGTACTAC